GTGCCATTGAATATATGATAATCACAGTTACTTCAATAACTGTGGTTAAAAGGGTATTGTTAAAATTTTCTTTTGTATTCGTGTTCCTCTTGTTCCTGTGGTGGCACTCATAAAATTCTTCATCTTTTTATTATGAAAAAATAATAATAAAATTTTTTTAAATTATATAAATGATAATTTAATTTCTCAAAATATTATAATTTTAATGAAGTCCCTAAAAACTTTTTTGTCAATAACTTTTTTAGTGAAAAGATCATTTTACCCTTATTAAAAATAACAAACCTTAATCACAATTTTTGTTCTATAAATTACAAGAGTTGAACAAAAAATCACAACTTATCAAGTGTAATTTTTGTTATTAAAAAAAAAGCTCCAATTATAATTTTTATTTAAGAAATAATAATTTTTGTCATATGAATTGTAAGAGTTGAATAAGAAATCAAAATTTATCAAGTGTAATTTTATTATTGAAAAATAAGTTTTCAAAATAACAAAACTTATTTATAATTTTTGTTTAAAAAATCATAACTTTTTTTCAAAGAATCGTAAGAATTAAATAAAAAAATTATAACTTGTCAAAAAGAATAAAATAGTCTTTTTATTAAAAAGTTATTGACAATGATGTTCCTAGAAATTTCATTGAAATTATAGTATTCAAAAGGATCAAACTGTCATTTATATAATTTGGAGAGATTTTATTATCATTTTCTCTTTTATTATTGCCAATCAATCTTTTCACTTGAACCAGATTTTTATCCAAATGTATACAAGCCAAGGTTTGTTTTCAATCCAAGTATCACTCGGAAGAATCTAGATTGATTGGCAATAATTTAGATTAATCCAAGTTATGGGTATAGATAACCCAATTGAAAAATCATGGGGATTAGATGATACGTGTCTCCACATCTTGGATGTTCTATTAAAAGCACAAGATATTGATAATGGCGGTGGAATAATTTCAAATTGTTGGCACAACTCAATTACAAGTTACTACAAGAGAAAACATGGCTGGATCATCCGGTTGGTTTGGGCAAAAATACGAAGGAAATGTTTGGAGAAGGGGGTATCAGGGTATGGATCGAGATTAGGATTTTATATTTATTACAATCTCACATTTAAAATTTCATATTTAAAATTTAGATTTTAAAAATTGTTTTTTAATAATATAAAAAAATTCAAATTCAAAGACAGTAAAAATAGGAGATGGGAAATGAAATCCATATTTTATTATTCCAAATGCTAGCCAATCTAAACCTCTTATTTTTTTTTCATGTTTTCTTTCACTTGTCCCTTTTTCATAATCTTTGGATTTAAAAATTTTTATGCTACCAAATAATATATTTTAAATACATATAAATTTTAAATGTGAGGTTTTAAATATCTGTTCGTTTAAGATTAATAAATAATTAATTTTTAGATAATTTAGAGATTTTATAAAAAGAGATTTATTTTGTAGAGATTTTATAAAAAATAAAGATTATTTTGTGCTTGGTCACTATAACAAAAAAGTGATTATTAGTTAATTATTTTTAAACTTTATAATATTTTCCTTGATTTTTATTTTATAAAAATAATTTATTATTATATTATTTTAAAATTTTATGATATCTTCACGTATCCTGCCTTTTTAAAACACCCTCTCTCATTTATCACATTAGATTATTTTCAGAAGCTTTTCAAAATAGCTTTTTAAAATAATCAGAAATATGCTTTTTTTTCTAGATTGTGATTATTTTTAGAAGTTTAAATAAACACAATACAAACTTAGAAAACAGATTTTTTTCCCCCAAAAAAATAAGTGATTTTTTTAAGAAATAAGCTAAAACAAATAGGAGCTAAATGTCATATCGTAAATCTCAATTCTCAATCCAAATACACCTACACAAAAGCTATCTAAATGCATTTGAGAGAAATTTTTAGATAGATTGAGTGCATTACGTTATTTATAGTTTGTCCAATTAGAATGCTCTAAATCATTTAAATAAAATCTTTCATGACATTATTTTAATTAATTTTATTCTTACAATAGAATGCATATTTAATTTTGTACTTTTTCTCTCCCTGTTATCATTAATATTAGAATCAACTGATATTTAATGGCACTTGAATGTTCATATTTTTATTGGACAAACTACAAATAACGTGATACACTCAGTCTATCTAAGAATTTCTCATGCATTTGATTTAATGGATACACGAGATTAGCCAAATATGATACACATATTTTGATATTGTTAGGTTATCCAAGTGTGAATGTACAAAAGATGATGTAAGAAGTCTCACGTTAGATATAGTTGAACTTAATAACTAATATATAATAAAGAGGAAGGACTCATAAACTTGAGTCTTAAGGTTTTGAGTTAAATTGTGATGTCCTTCCATTGCTCTTGCTCTCCTCACTTCCCTCCCTTCTTGGGTGGTCGTTCTCCATCCCTTCCTAACAAAGATGATCACAACATCCAAGACGTGAATTATTAAAGATGGAATATACTGGAATTACATTTATTTACATGTTCAATGTATTGAATTTAATGAATTTTTTTTAGCCAATTATTGAATTCAATCAATCATTCACACTAATAAGAACTAATATAAATGGTATATTTTATATTAATATTGAGTATGCAATTAATGCATTAAATATTCTTTATTTATTTGGCAATTGAAATAGTAAATTTAATTAATTACAAACAAGTATATGTCTCCCTTAAGTTACCAATTTTCAACGTCTAAATCACAATATTGATGAATCATATCAAAATTGGATTAGGTTTTTATAGGACAAAACCAACCTTTGAACTAATATATCACAATGACACAATTCTCAATTACTTTTGTTCATAATGTTTGTAATTTCATAGCCAACAAATAATTACAACAAAACTGGAAGCTCAATTACAAAATTAAAATTAGTGACATATAATACTCATTATTATAAAACCCCTCAATTAGCAAAGCCAAAATCAATCCTTATGTTTCTACAGTCATAGAGCCATGGGCTACCTGATCTTCTTGTTGATATAAATGAAATAAGGGCTTATAAATTCAAAATTAGTACAAAAACACATGAACTTATCCATATGTTTTTATATCAAATTCACTTTAGACCCACTCTGTCAAATTGTTTCTGTATAACACTCAAGGTTTTACCTAACAGAATCTGTTCTGCTGATATGTTTAATATATATTCTGTCACAATTTCTGATTAGAATCAGAATCTGCAAACTTGACACCCCTCTACATTGAATTCTCTAGGAGCTTGCATTCTTGCCGATGTGGTAGGCTAGATTTTGCAAATCTCCTCTGTTAAGTTCTTGGAAGGAAAATACATCCCAATAGGCTAGGAACAAGATACATCCAAACAATATAAATCAATTTTCTTCTCATATTCTCTAGGCTATACCATCTGGCTTTGCCAGGAGGTTCTTGGCTTCAAAAAAGAACGGACAAAGCATGAAGCTTCGGACTTCAAATGAAAGAGTTTGGTTTACTAAGTTCATCACTAGGAAACAGGGGACAAGAACAAAATTTGAACTCTCTACTAGTGGGTGGAAGGCATTTGTGATGGACAATGAATTGAAAGCAGATGATGTTTGTGTTTTTGAGCTCATCAAAGGAGCAGTTAATGACATCGATTTTCAGGTTTCAATCTTTCGAAATACCAATCCTTCAAATGCTCCTTTGACTATAGGTGAAACTAGTTGACATTTAACCAATCTCCTAATCAATCATTTCTTAACAATCAATGCAGGTTCTTTGTCTCTTCTGCAGAAACAGGAAAAAATAGCATTGGTAGTGATCAAAGACCGAAAAACAAGATGGTGAAAGTTATAACAGAACACAGGAGCTTCAAGTTTATCTAAGGAAGCCTAGATTTACGAAAGCTGCTACTTCTAGAGAAGCTGCTGCTCATAGTTTCAACTCTGAAAACCCCTTCTTCAAAGTAACCATAGGATTATCCCATTGTCAGGTATGCTCTCTCAGTGATCCCTAAATGCTCATAAGCCTACTAGCCTCTCTCAACAAGTTTTTAAAGTAGGTAGTTGTTACTTAGAACTTAAACCCAAGAATATCAGTTTAGTATAGCTTCCTGCTATCCGAGATATATGCTTTACATATATGATGTAGTTTTGTGTGATATAGTGTTTGACACATGTAATAGCTGTGCACTTTATTTTATGCAGGGGGTGCCAGCCAGTTTTGTAAGGAAGTACTTGGAAGAAGGGAAACATTCTGTAGAGGTCCAGGTTAAGGATAGATCGTAGAGGGTTAAGCTGATCAGAACTTCTGGATCACAGGGAAATGGTTTCTTTTCAGAAGGATGGGCTGCATTTGTAAGAGAGAATGATCTGCATGTTGGAGATGTTTGCTTCTTTGAGCTTGTGAACAGACATGACATCAATGTCATGAAAGTTTCTATTTTCAGACACTCCTTAGCTTAATTGGAACTAATGTCTCCATGTTATTTAAATATGTCACTTTGCAAGGTTTGCTGATCTATTGAAACTTTTTTAATTGATTTCAAGTCATTTCAGAAAGAAAATGAAAAGTGAGTTTAGAAAAGAAAGAAAAAACAGATGTAGCATCAAATCCAGTGATATATCTGAAGTAGTCTGTATTCAAAGTCTATACCACACCTTACTTGAATTGAATGAGTTTGAATATCAAACAGGAATCAAAATATATTCTAATTAGAGAGATAGAACAGGAAAGTCATTATGAGCAATATTCCAAGCCAAATCCGTATAATTGAGATAGTTTAAAGCGATAGTTTTCGTCTAGTGGAATCAAAGTGTTGGTCAAATATGACAATGCAATGATGCAATCCATGGGCACAGAATCTTTTTTTTTTTTTTTTTTGAGCCGGCAGAGTCAAAATATTTTATATAAGATTTAAAAAGAATTCTGAAGATTGAAAAATGAGCAAAGCTCATCTGAGGTGGGAACTCTTGGCTGAGAATGATACCACATCTTACATTTGCTTACAGTTCAAAATTATGGGACTTTTAGAATTCAGACGTTACTGAGGATGCGAGGAAGGTGGTGAGAAGTTTCTTCAAATTTGAATTTTTCTTTTTTCCTGAGCAAAACAAATCTGAAATTTCATTCAAACGCGTTTTGACTTATGGGGTGCATTATGGCCGAAGTCTAACACATACCCATGCATAAGAAACTGTCACGGACGATACTCTATCTCAAACGCGTAGTTATATTTTCAAAGTTCATATTTCATACACCTCTTTTTCCATTTGCTTGCTCTTTTCCACCATTATTTCTTCACTCTGACATCTATTCACAAGTTTTGAGAACAAAGATGAGTTTTGTGTTTTCTCCCCCGTCGTACCATAGTTCGTTTGATGATTTTCAGACACAAGCCCAAGATACGTTCAATAGATTCGGTGACAACGTTAATTCTACGATGAAATGGGCAGTGGCTGAATCTATTGGTATGAAACTATTAATCTTCATTCATGCTTGCTATTTGTGCTTTCTTTCCCCAGACTTTCCTGAATATCTCTGTTCTGTTTATTGTCAATTTCATTTCCTACTATCTGAGGCACACGTAATTTCTTCAAAGCTCAAAACCTTTGCATTGATAGAGCTAATCACCGGAAGAAAAAACTTGGGTTATCAGATTTTTTTTTTTGGTAAAATCACCATTCTTTTTGTTGCTATGATCTTCCGTGTTTTAGACGAGAAAATTTACTGGTATACTGTTCCATTTTGATTTTCAGTTTATGGGGTGGTGGTGATAATTGCCATTATAGCAGTAGTATACGCCATTATTGAGTGCTTGAAGAAAGCAGGAATGGTAATTCCAGCTTATACGCAGATTTCAACAACAGATATTGACCAGAAAGCTTCAAACTCACATCCCTCAAAGAACAAGGAAATCGTGTTAGCAATACCTCCAGATTCACAAGTGGAGTTTGCAACTATGGAAAGATTCCTCGACAACATCAACCAAGAGAAACCCATCAGATTCTCACCCGAGGAACTTGAAGGAATCACAAAGAACTACTCCACTATTTTGGGTTCTGGTGCTTTTGGGGTGGTTTATGAAGGTGAATTATCAAATGAAGAGCAAGTTGCAGTGAAAGTTCTCAACAGTTTGGATTTGGGTACTGAAGAGCAATTCAAAGCAGAAGTTAGCACCATAGGAAGAACATACCATATCAATCTAGTTAGGCTTTATGGCTTCTGCTTCCACCGTGACAAGAGAGCGCTTGTATACGAGTACGTGCAAAATGGGTCTCTCAACAACTTATTATTCGGCAGTCTGAGCAGAGAAATTGAGTTGGGGAAGCTTCATGAGATTGCAATCGGAACAGCAAAAGGAATTGCTTACTTACATGAGGAGTGTCAACACAGAATCATTCATTATGATATTAAGCCAGAGAACATTCTTCTTGGACTGAACTTGGAACCAAAGGTAGCAGATTTTGGTCTTGCAAAACTCTGCAGCAGAGAAAGCAGCCATGTGAATATGACACACTTCAGGGGAACAAGAGGGTATGCTGCACCAGAACTGTGGAAGCTTTGTCCTGTGAATCATAAGTGTGATGTTTATAGTTTCGGTATTGTTCTGTTTGAAATTGTGGGGAGGAGAAGGCATTTTGATAGTGGCTGCAGTGAATCACAACAATGGCTTCCAAAATGGACATGGGATATGTTTGAGAACAATGAATTGCCTGTGATGCTTTCACTGTGTGGAATTGAAGAGAAAGAAGGAATTGAAGAGAAAGACAGGGAAAAGGCTGAAAGAATGTTAATGGTGGCTCTTTGGTGTGTTCAATATTCCCCTTCTGATAGACCTCTTATGAGTAATGTGGTGAAGATGTTAGAGGGTGATATGGAAATCCCTCAACCACCATTTCCCTTTCAGAATTTGGTGTCATCTCTACCACATTTGACTTCAAAGGGAACCAATGAAGATTCAGATGCTTCTACTTCATGGGGGACAGAATCTTCTCAAAAATCTAATTACAAATCAGGACACAATATATTCTGTGTAGAAAAATCTGCATAGATGTATGTCACATTGTATTTTTTTAGGGAAAAAGTTTATTCTAAAATTGAAATTCCTTTTTTCCTTTCGTCATTTTGCAGGACTCTGTTTTCATATTATGAAGCCAAATATTTGGTGCCTATGCTTCTTTTTTATCTGCGCCTCACCTTTGCAACCCCTTAAGATCTTTGACTTGCAGGATGTTGCATCAACTGAAGTATAATTTTTTGAGCACCACGGAGGTAACTTCTTTTTGTTTTATCATATTAGCCTAGTATACTTGAAAACAAGAATCAATTTTTTTTCACAAGAACTATAAGATATAGAGTGGAGGTTGAAACTATCAACTTAACCTGAAGGTGGTGTTAATGCCCTGTTTGCTAGGTGAGAACTAGTAATACAGCCTCTAATATATTTCATGACTCAGTATTACATATTAACTTTCTGAAGAAATAATTATGAACTACACATGTTAATAACCAATTCAATATATGATATAAAATTTATACCAAGTCATACTATTTATCTTATTTTATGAACTCATTGCAATACACCGTTCTACCTATCTGGTTTTATTTAAAACATCTAATGAGAAACAACAAAAGGTTTGTTATTTTCTGGGCCAGCAACTTGTATTGGTACTAAAATCACCATAAAGCCAACCACCTTAAGTCTAAAATCACCATAAAGCCAACCACCTTAAGTAACCTTTGTTGTCAAATAATACTTGCAATTTGTCTAAAGTGGAAATGAATGGCCTAAGATGCTGTGCAGTTGACTATTTAGTAACTATGGTGAATATTGGAAACTGTGAGCAACAAAGTGGGCACTGAAGTTTTGGATTTGTGCCCCTTCTCTTGTATCATCCTCTTATATATGGTTTCTAGTACTTACCCTTATTTACCCGCTTCTCGTCCTTTGAGAAATTTATACTTATTTTGAGGTGACAAGGAACTTTCAAGATGTCAAGATAAAAGAAGCAGAACTTTACGTGGATAATAAACTACAATTTTATTTGCTTGTCTAGGCAAAACCATTCAGCGTATTGGTGTAAAGAGGCGTTAGCTAGCTGTCTGTGTGTGTGTATATATCTCTCCAGACTTGGTGTAAAATCCACCTCGTTTTTCATTGATTCACCTGGCATTTGCATGGTAAGTTAGATGCATAAAGATAACATGAGAATCACTTTGGGCTTTGTTATAAACCAGTGACATAATCTGTACGTCGAGCCCTTGGTGCCAGAATGTCTGCAAAATTTGTAAGTACCTAATGCATGTCAGTCAATTTTTTGCATTCAAAGAACCTTAACCATTTTCATTAACTGAACCTTTGCATTGATAATACAACCTCCCAAGAAGCGTGTTTTAACAATATTCAGGTCACCTTGAAGTAGATCCAATCAGTGATATAAGGTAAATGATGTGATATTGCTGTTAGAGTCCTACACATATTTTGTAAAGTTAATCCCTTGTTTTATAACATATCGAATTCATCACTGTTTTCCTTTGCCTTAGGAAAAAGTCAAGACAAATAAACTGTTACATTTAGGATCAGAATGGATCCAACAGAGTATCCAATCCAGGACGAGATATTGTGTGTTAATCCTGGCTAGAGGCTCTTTGAATCCAATCTTATTATAAGGATTGTTTGGGGAAAAAAATAAATATAATAAACAAAGAAAATTGTGATTTTACGTTTACAATTCAAATAAGCCCCTTGACTAGCACTTATAGCATTTAGCACCAAGAAAAAAAGAAGAAGAAGAAAATGAAGAGGAGGAAAAGAAAATGAAGTCATTATGAGGAAATTAAGCAAATTCCATCGTGTTCCCTCGCTAGAATTGGTGAATTGTTCCCCTTCAAGTACCTTTTACCTCTTCATCTAGCCTGACAATAAAAATATCAAAGAATTATATATGAATTTTTTTTAACATAAATGTCAGCATATAACTGAGGCATTGAAATCAATATCCATTATCATTTGCGGATCAATAAATGTTGAAAAAATATATTTTAAACGCAAGTTTTGTCATGAATAAGACAAACGAAAAAGAAACACGAGACTCGGTCAATGAAAGCAAAACAGTTGTATCATTCTGAAATTTCTTTTTCTTTTGCTTTTTGCGTGGACATGCATGACTGAGAATATATGATTGGCTAATAGTTAGCGTTAATTCTGAGATACAGAAACCTCATCCTGAGTTGTTTTATGGGGACTGAACCTACATCCTACATTTGCGTCAGAATTAATAATTTGCCGATATTACTTCAAGTGCGAGGAACTTCATTAAAAATTTCTTCGAGTTTCACTCAAGCACGTTACATAATAAATTATCACAGACATTTGTACCCAAAAAAAAAAAAAAAATTATCACAGACAGTTCTATCTCCGTTGTCTTCACATATTCAATTCATAGTTCATAGTCATACGCCTCTATCTCCTTTTTCTTCTCTTTTCCACCATTATTTCTTACCTCTATCATCTGTTAGGTTGTGTTTGAATAAGTGAATTTAAGTTGAGAATTTAAATTTAAAATCTCATATTTAAAATCTCACATTTAAAATTCATGAATTTTAAATTTTTTGTTTCGATAATATAAAAAATTTTAAATTACAATATTCAAATCTTTTGTTTGGATTTAAAGTAAAATTTTAAATTTTAAATTCTATATTTAAATTTAAAAGAAACTTAAAAGATTGGTCAAATTCGGCAATTCAAATGGCTAACTTCTAATAGGGTCAAACAAACAAAGTTGATTGAAACTGTGGAACTAGTGATGAGCAGGATGAGACCTTTGACATCCATCGAGACCAGATTGTCGCAATGAGGGGAATCGAATAGTTGACTTCTATAGAGACTAGATCAATTGCGACAACTGAGACTAGATGGCCGACTTCCATCAAGACTGGACTAATGAGGATGATGGGAATTGAATGACCAACTTCCACTGGGATAGGATCAATAGGGACTACGAGGACCGGATGGAGCGGGACGACGGGGATAAGAAGACTGACTTCCAATGGGATCAAATCGATGGCGATGACAAGGACTGAATGGCCGACTTCCACCGAGACTTGATCGATGAGGACTATAGGGATCAGAATGAGGGGGACGATGGGGACTAGATGGCCGATTTCTACCAGGACTGGATCGATAGCAACAACGGGTACCAAACGGCTAACTTCCACTAGGATCGGACCTACTATGATGATGAAGATTAGATGGTCGACTTCCATCGACACCGAACCGATCAATTACAACCAGATTGAAGGCAATGGTGATGAGAAACAATCGTCTGATCCTCACTCAATGGAAGTTAGACTTTTGATCCTCATCATTACCGTCAGTTTGGTCCCAATGGAAGTCGTAGTGCTTTCCAATCATCACTGTTGATACTGTCCTAGTGGAAGTCTACCATTCGGTCCCCATCATCACAGTTGATCCTGTCCCCTTTGTCGCCGTTAGTTTGCTCCCAATGGAAATCAATCATCTTATCACAGTTGTCATTGTCATTAGTCTGGTCCCTATGAAAGTCAATCATCCAGTCCTCGTCGTCCCTCTCGATCCAGTGCCCGTTATCCCTATCGGTTTGGTTCTGGTGAAAGTTGGCTGTTCGATCCCCGTTGTCATGGTCAGTTAGGTCCTGGTGGAAGTCAGCCGTCCTATCCTCATTGTTCCCCTTAGTCTAGTCCCTATCATTCTTGTCTGTTGAGTACAGGTGAAAGTCTACTGTCTAGTCCCTGTCATCCTCTTCGGTCCAGCGCCCATCATCCCTGTTGATCTGGTGTTGATGAAAGTTGGCTATTCAATCCCCGTCGTCACCATCAGTCAGGTCTCAATGGAAGTTGACTATTCGATCCTCATTGTCCCCTCGATCTAGTCCCCATCATCCTCATCGATTAGGTTCAGGTAGAAGTCGGCAGTTCGGTCCTCATCATTCTGTAAGTTTGGTCCTAGTTAAAGTAGGTCGTTAGGTCCTGATTGTACTTGTATGGTATCCGGTTTGGTTTGTCACTGTAAGTTCAGTCCTAGTAAAAGTCATCCATTTGATCCCTTTTGTCCCCTCGGTCCGATCTTGGTGAAAGTCGGCCATCTCGTCCCCATCAATAGTGGCAGCTTATTTCTGTGAACTTTGGCATTTCGGTCTAATTACCGTTGGTAGGTTGATCTAGCCTTCATACATTTGGGTCAAATTACAAAAAAGCTTGAATTAGGATTTGAAATAATAGTGGTTTAAAAGATTTTAAATTACAAAGAAATTAAGAGAGAATTTAGATTTGGATTTGAGTTAAATTCAAATCCATGCATTTTTAATTATCCAAATAATGAATTTGGTTTAAATCTAAATTCATGTGCATCCAAACATTGCATTAAGGTTTTATGAACAAAAGATGATTTTTCTCTTACAGTTCATTTTATACACAGGATTGCTAATGAAATAATTTTGATGATCAATTTAGTTCCACTATGCAATTTGTAATAGTTGAGTCAATTGGCGAGAAACTATTGATGTTTATTCATGCTCATAGCTAGCTTTCTATTTGTGTTTTCTTTCCCAAGAATTTCCAGTTTTTTTTTCTGCTGGATAACTTTTATCTCATTATAATTTAGCTTATTCCCAATTTTTTGTGAAAAGAAGTTATTGCTTCAAAGCTCAAAATCTAAGCATTTTTATGGATTATTAAGTGATTTTGGTAACAACCATTAGACAAGTAAATAATTATTTAAATAAATAATAATTTAACAAGGGTGTAATCAAATAGTCATAAGAAAAAAAATTAGGGTTTTTATCAAACAAGTTGAAATCATCCTTCTTTCAATTACTTCGATCTTTTATATAAGTTCTGCTCGGTGTAGACAGCAAAATTTACAAATACGTTGTTCTATTCTTATTTTTAGTTTATCTGGTGGTAGTGATAATGGCTATTTTAGCAATAGTATATGCTATTGTTCAATGCTTGAAGAAAGCAGGATTAGTGATTCCAGCTTTCACCTAGATTCCAACAACAGATAAGGACCATAAAGCTTTAAATTCACATCCTTCAAACAACCAAGAAATAGCATTAGCAGTGACACTGGATTCACAAGTGGAGTTTGCAACTATGGAAAGATTCCTCAACAACATCAAGCAAAAGAAGCCCATTGGATTCTCACCTAAGGAACTTGAAGGAATCACAAAGAACTACTCCACTAGATTCTGGTGCTTTTAGGGTGGTTTATGAAGGTGACTTGCCAATAGAGAGCAAGCTACTGTGAAAGTTCTCAATAGTTTGGATTTAGGGACTAGAGCAATTCAAAGCATAA